GCCAATGAGGGGTCCGAGTAACAAGGACAGGGAGATTCCTAAGAGGGAATGATTGTGACTGGGGGGCCTTCTGGACGATAAGGGCCTTGAACGAAGCTAATCAAAGCCTCGGAGGCCACCAGGTGCACGGTTTCTTCTGGGAACAGGGAGTGACCGGCCTGTTCAGGGCGTGGGGCCCACTTAGGGCAGTCTGGGGAACACCCCGGGGAGAAGGCCTTCAATACCGCAGTAAAAAAATGCTGTATGAAATACCAGTTGGACAAAGCTAGCTAAAGAGAACTCTTAGTCCTAGGATCAGGGATGGGGGTGAGGGGTGGGGGTGGGGTGCCTACTGCAGGGGATTCTCAAGAGAACTGAGTGCAATACTTCCTGAGCAGATGAGAAAAGTGGGCTCAGAGAAATGAGGTGCCTTGCCTAACATCACACAGAGAGGGGCCAGGATTTGAACCTAGGTCCTCCACCTCCACACCTAGCCTTTTCTCCATAACACCCCCTGCCTCTGGGAGGTCTGTAAGTCAGGATTCCAAAATGAGGACATGACGGCTCACCATCTCCTGGGACCCTAGCCACTGGGATGATGGTGCCCAGGACCATTTGTCATAATCACTGCCCAGCAGACACAAGGAGATGACCACGTTTTTAAACCCTGCTGCATTACCGAAATGGGAGCTATTATCACAGGGTTGGTAATAAGTACATGGAATTCATTACCTTAATTGGTGATACAGGCCGAAAGCAGGAAAAGCATTATGACCCATGGATAAGAGACCCTACCAGGCTCTTAAGGAATATGCATAGCCCCTCCCTAGCCTTTTCAGATTGATATCTTGGGGGTCAACCCTGCACTCCCAGAGGCCATCCACTGACGCCAGAATTCGGGACTGCAGAGACCACAGGTTTGACTCAGGAGGTTATGCTCTCCAAGAATTTTAGGCAAAAATAATTAAAAGAATATAACTACATAATATTTTAACCTAATAATAATGAATATTTTATAGTGCTTAAAAGTGTCTGTAAAGCACTTTCCAGACAGCATCTCACCTGATCCCCACAACGGAGGTGTCATTATTATTCTCCCCATTTTACAAATGGGAAAATGAAGCTGAGAGGCGGTCCCATTACTACAGAGTGTCAGGGGAGGGCCTCAGGTCCACGTCTCTCCTGGCTGTAAGCCCAGGGACCTGTCCACTACTCCATGCTGGCTCTCTCAACTACCTCCCAGGTCTTCCCATGATTCTCCATCCTTCTAATGGGAGCAACCAGGCTAGCAAGACAGGACAGTTGGCACAATAAAGAAGCTGGCTCTGGGTGTACACTCTTCCCTCTGAAGGACTGAGCAGACTGAATGCAGGGGATCACCCCAGGCAGCTCACTCCTCAGGGGAACTGGTGAGGCCCACTGAGTCTTGTGGGTTTGGCCCTCCGGTGGCTACTGAAACCACCAGAAATAGTAACCACCGACTTCCCGGCGCTGTGGGATTCCCAAGACACTTTCTTTGCAAAAGTCCTAGGAGGTATCTTGGTTCAAGCCATGTTTTTGTCATTTGAGATGTGAGTAAACTGAGGTTCCGCGAGGCCCACGGTCACATATACACAGAGTGGTTGAAGTCAGAGTTCATTGAGCTGGGCATGACCGTCTCCAGATGCCAGGAGCTTCTTCTGTATTTGGTTTGAAATGTATTTTTCTTTTTCTTTTCAGACCAGCGGGAACCCATCAGCTTGGCATGCCACCAGACCCTCCCCCTTCCCAACTGTGTGCCCTAAAGACCTCTGGGCCTTGCCTTTGGCACCGCTGCACCACTCGCTCTCCAGTCTCCTGGGCCTTTCCACCCTCATCACAGCTGAGCTCCCCCAACTGTGTTATGTGAGTGCTCTGAGAGCAAGGGGTGTCCCACTTGTATTTGTAGCTTAGCAGAGTGCCTGGCACGTGGAAGACAGCTTAAAAGATACTTTTCTGTTCTATTTATTACATAGTGGACGGAGAAGTGGTCTCGGAGCCTGGAAAACCTGGCTTTGAGAACAGACTGACGCAGACTAGCAGAGTGACCACAGGCAAGTCACTTAATCCTTCACTGCCCAAGAAAATTAAGACTTTGTCAAGTTGTAGAACAAATGTCGATCTACATTGGTGGAATAGGGGATTCCTTGCGGGGGAGTTCCCTAAGCTAATGAAATCACACTGGACCCCCCTCCACACACACTCAAGAGAACACCAGCATCAAAGACAATTCACATGGAGCTCCAGAAAATCTTCGCATAAGAATGTGGGTGTGCTTGGTGGAAAATGAAATTTTACACAAAATTTGCATTAGACCAATCTATATATGGCTAGTTAAGGGTCAAGCAGAGTATATAAATTACATAACAGACATTTATTTACTGTGAATAAAAGGAAAACCTGTTTCCCACATATAGACACCTCGGGGTATAAACTAAACAATGTCAAAGCTTACCTCTCCTTGGAAACTCTTCAACAAAGGAGCTACCTGCTTGCGCAAATCCTGAAGCACACAAAAGGATGAATCAGAAGGCAGACATGTGAAAAAGAAAGAGAAGAAAATATGTCAGGTTGGTCTCCAGAACAGCTGTGAGTAAACTGTTAATGATTAACAATATAAAACAACCCCATTTCCTCTCATTTCTAGTATATTGACAAATTTGGCTTTGCTTAATCTAAATTTTATTTTAATCAAGTGTGGTTAGATTTAATTTCTAATAATTAGTCCTTATTTGCATACACCTGATTTTATATGCAATGTGATTAAAAAAAAAAACAACTCTTCCATGATGTCAGTTTCAGTATTGTGAGGTCTGCTGTAATACATTCACTTGAAATATGAAGTAAATGTTATGATTTAGGTTTGAACATTGTTTCTATATGAAATGGATTTAGGCCATAACTTTGACTTTTAAACCCTTTCTGAATGCACTGTTAATGTAAATTAAACATCAAAGGAATGAAACTCTCTTAGAATCTCTTATTAACCAATTTTGACACACCTCCTCAAGAAATTCACTACTATAAGAATTCATAAATCAGAAAATTGACCGGATATATGAAATCTTTATAGACCATTCAGGTCCCTTCAGCTAAATGTTCTGAATTTTAGTAAATATAATGTTATCATGGCAGTGAAAACAGCCTCAGCAAAGGAGAATTCTGTCTTTATACAGTAGGATATTAGGAAGGGGGTTTGAGAGATGAGACAGTTGCTTTTTTTTTGGTGAGTTCTGTGACATTAAGCTGTCACTGTCATTGTCTTTTTCTTTTGATTTTATCTTACTGTAGCAAGTACTTTTTAAAAATCCTGTTAGCTTCTGTTTAAAGCCATTTTGTGACTCAATAATATTCTATTGGAAAATTTCCCTTTAATTATGTGCCCTGGAAAGATGTAATGCATCTGTCAATCGATTAGCATTGACTAAGTGCCTCCCGTGTGCCAAGCACTGTGCCAAGGGTGGTGTCATGTTATTATGTCTTAGTGAACATTCTTGTTGTTTCTAAGGGAACAGAGTTTCTATTTCATAATGAAAATCAACAGGGAAAGTGTCAGAGGCGAGGACAGATACCGTATTCAGTCAAATACTCGACAGTGTCCCTGACGTGTCCAGCACTGTCACAGGACATTCAGACACAATGAGGGTACGCTGACAGAGCTCACCCAATGAGTTTCCTAAACACACGGTGTAAAGAGATCATAACAAAGAGCTGTTAAAAAAGAAGTCATGGGAAAATGGGAAAGGGGAAAGGGACTTTGTGATGTCTGAAGCAGCTTAGGAAACACTGCCTCTGGACGACAGGACCAAATGACACTTGCCTATTTTAGGGACACACGTCTCAATTTTCTTAGCCAGATTTCCTGAACTTCAGAGGCCTATTTCCATTTTAAAATGGGTGGCACAGTGGGAAAAGGGTTGGATTCCAAGTCAGTGGTTCTCCGTCTAAGCCCTGGCCTAGCAGCTCACTGTCTGTCTGTAGGGCTGCTGCTGTGCCAGCCCCTTCCCCTTTGGGTCTCAGTTTGCTTGTCTGTGAAGCGGGGAGAGTTGAGGGGGGGTGTCGACTTCCGAGGCTCCTTCCTAGTCTCCATCTGCTCTCTCATTCAATCGTTCTCTGTGTGCCAAGCACAGTGCTCGTTATGGAGAGGCAAAGCAAAAGATCAGCCACTGACCTCAAGGGGCTTCCACTCCAACAGGAGAGACAACAGACATAAATGTGTACACGTGGTGATGTCAGTAAGAAGGCACTTTCATTCTGAAATCAAAGACGATTTTGCAATTTGCAGTGCTACGGACACCTTGCCATTTCAGAGGAAAACCTGCTTAATTGATTTTTTTTTCAGTAACTTGGGCAAAGGTATCCGTAGACGTCCTACTTATCATATTTGCCAATGACACAGAGCTTGGAGAGACAGGGTTGGCACTGACGCTGCCCACAGAGCCCAGATCTGAAGAGATCACGACAGGCTGGAACACGGGGTCAGACACAAGCAGATGAATCGGAGGGGGGATTAACATAAAGTCTACTTCCCCCACCTAAGATGAGCCTGGCATGGCTGGGGAGAATCAGGACTGGGCCACAGCAACCAACGAGGCACAGGCCTGGGCGGGCAGGCCCTAGACGCGTGGCCTGGGGAGGCCTAGGGATCGTTCTCGGCCCCGTCTGTAGGAAGGACAAAGGCACAAGGGACACAAAGAGGTCCCCAGTTCCCAGCACAGAGGAGAAGAAATGACTGGTGGGAGAAGTGCCTAAAGGGTCTCCACGTAAAGGTGGTTCCCAGAGGACAGAACTGGACACAACGGGCAGACACTGCAGAGAGGCCACACGAGGCTCGGTGGAAGGTTCCCAGAAGAGGGGACGACAGCGTGCTCTGGAAGAGGAGGGGTGGTTGCATCGGCACAGAGCCAAGGAGGGAAGGCAAGAGAACTGACAAGACTGGGCGAGTGACTAGACAAGGAGGAGGGGGAGAATCGAGGAAAACTCCCAGGATGCCTCAAAGGGCCCCCAGAAGGGCCGTGGAGAGAAGAGGGCCTCTGCTTCCTTGGGGAAGGGGGAGGTGGGAGGGACCGAGAGGGGTGGCATAGAGAAATGCTGCAATGAGGAAATAGAAATGAAAGGCCATTTTGGTCGGCAGGGCCTTAATGCAAAGTCTAGACTACAGGGCAGTTACAAACCGCAGGAAGAAACGGGAAGCAAACCCTAGTCACCTCATTTATTGCCGACACCATTCTGAGGAAAGCAGCTGACAGAGAGCACGAAGAAGGCTCGTTGTTCTGAGCACGGCATGCCACTGCATGGTCAGCCCACTGACCCAGGACTGAACAGGAAGAGAAAAGACACCTGGGAAACGGTCTGGCACTTTTAATGAAAGGAATGAAGAGGTTGCTATTAAGCACTGACCAGGTGCCAAGCCCCACCTCTCCAACATCAACAGCCCCCCAGTAATAGTGAACTCACGTGAAGAACACCCACTGGCTGAAGCAGAAAAAAGCAGTGAAGAGACACTGTGAGGGGCATAAACGGGATGCCAAATGTTCCCAATGATGACCTAAAGCCCTCAAATAGCCTAAAGGACATAAATCAAAGAACTAAATGGCAATCACCTGGCATGGTGCCTCGCCCAAAGCAAGTATGTAACAAATGTTGAATTAAATTAGAGCTCCAGAGGGAAGAGCCCCTGCCAGTGGAGCACCTGGATTAGCGATGACTGTGGTCTCCTACATCTGAATGTATGAACATGATGGAACATAAGCTCCCTGGGCAGGGACTGGTTCTTTTTTGTGTCTGTATCCCTAGCACTTGGTCTGATGCCTGGCACAAAGGACATGTTGAATAAAAGCTTGTTGATTGGTTCGCTGGTCCACACATGGCTGTGCCCCCATGCCTAGGACACTTGAGGACTAGAAAAACCATTCTCTAAATAATGCCTCTGAAACAACATCATTTCAGAGGGCTCCAGGGTGGCTCTTATCCCCTGAGCCCGGCTGGGGATCCTGGGTAGGTAGGACAGAGTGGGCGTGCCTTCCACATCTGGGCCAGACCCACAGCCCTCCGAGGAGCCTTCCAACTCTCCCATTCTGTGAAGTGCTTATAATCCACTGGAGGAGTCCAAACATTCCTACCTGAGGACAGTCAAAAATGAATCGGTAAGCACCCGCTGTGCGCCAGGCACTGAAGAGAAGCAAGAAGAAAACACTCTCTGCCCTTGAGGAGTTCACAGAGAGTCAGGTAAGCCAGGCCCACAGTCGCCATGGAAGATGTGAGACCAAACATGGAATAGTAATCGGGGGCCAATCCCCCAAAGACAATGATGCTGTGTCACAAGCACCCCAGAAATTCTGGGGGTTGACACTCAGGCGGGCCTGGCTTTTTGCAGTTTGTTGTATCTCCTTGCACACAGTAGGTGATTAATAAATGTTTGCTGGCTGCATGACTGACTTGGAAGGTCTTGGAAGACAGAAAAGCACAAAATATTTAACATTCATACTAAAAACATGTTAAGGCCATCAACGCCTCTTTCCGAGGTCCCCCTGGAAAGGTAAACGGAATTATTTCCTATATTGGCCACAGAAGACATAAGCTTTACGATTATAGCTCCAGACGGGGAAGGGCCCTCAGAGGCCTTCTCATCTAGCCCACAATAATGCTGGGATTTGAACCCAGGCCTTCTGACTGCAAATAAAACACGTTTTCCACTATACCACACTGACTTTAAAGGTCTAATGAAATCCCCCTAATACAAACTTTGAAGAAAGAAGGAAAAGAATAAATAAACAATGTGTAGATTCCTTCTCTAGACCCCCAGTAACTCTGAAAGTTCCCTGGTCTGCCTGATCCCAATCAACTGGGCAATGATCTATTTTCTCTGGGCCTTGAAAAAGACCAGGCCATGACAAAATTGTTTCTATATGTTCTCTTGCCACCCACCAACAAGCTATTAGACTACAGGGGCTTTTAAACAGTGGGACATAAACACTTCTGCTATGTCTCTTGCCTCCCCCCTTCCCCTCAGAGTCATGTGAACAAATTAGCTGTATTTGTAATAAAAAAAAAAACACATCACTTCGTTCCACAATTCAAGTGTTAATCACAGGATCACAGACACCTTACAAGCCACTGATCCAACCGCTCTAGTTTTACAGATGAGGAAAGTAAGTCACAGAGAAGTGAAGTAAATGATTTGCCCCATGGGTTCAAATTGCTACCAAGTGTCTGAGGTGAGATTTGAACGCAGAGCTTCCTGACCCCAAGTCCACGACCTTGTCTGCTACAGTTTACAAAAAGAACCTGCTTTGGGGTGCTGAGATCCCAGAAGGAAAGACTGAGAGATGGAGGGAGGGACCGATACCCCAGCAAACAAAACTGCACACAGACCTCAAGTCACCAGCTAAAAACCACTCCTGCTAAATTTATTTTTGGCACCCTGAGAAATTCCTCATCACACACTGCCTGCAAATATTATCCACATGTCAGACAGAATTCTGCCCTCCCTGTACTAAAGCA